CAATAGCCTACAAAAGGTGAGGCAAGCATTTTCTCCACTCAGGATGGCCGATGACCCAAAATGAACGGCTGTGGAAGCAGCAAACGCGCTGCGGGTGTAATATGTCCCCACGTTTCAAAGGGTATTGCCACTAAGCGATCTGCCAACCATTTTCGTCTCTCCGATAGGACTAGCTCCCATCACTTTTACCGCAGTGGCTGTATTGCAAAAGCTGACGTCTCTACGCAAACACAACTCGCCGGGTGTCAATACCATTTGTCCAGAGGCAATGGGAGCAACAGCAAGCCAACTGGCGGGACCTACAGCTCAGTTTTTCCAGCGCTGTTTAGACCAAAATCAAGTTCTCACAATATGGAAGCTTGGAATAATAACCCCGATTCACAAAGGTGGAAGCAGTACTGAGCCCTCTAACTACGGCCCAGTATCCCTACTTACTATACTTTCCAGGGTCATGGAATCCATAGTTGCCGATGCACTGGTGTGCTATCTGGAAAACTATCACATCATCACACCTGAGCAGCACGGTTTCCGTCGACAGCGGTCATGCGCAATGAATTTACTAAGCGCACATAGTAGTTGGATCGAGTCAGTTGACGCTGGAGTAGGCGTTGATGTTATCTACCTGGATGTTTCGAAAGCTTTCGATCGTCTATACCATCGGATAGTACTCGCCAAGCTCCAGTGTTACGGAATAGGCGATCCTCTTTTAAGCTGGATTGCTAACTTTCTACTTCAACGGTAATTAGTGGTCAGAAATCGGAGCTCTTTATCGGACCCATGCAAGTCGAGGGTGGTGTGCCGCAAGGCTCAGTTCTAGATCCACGTTTATTTTTGGTGTTTATTAACTACGTTGCACAGGGAATCGCTTTAAACTTCCTAATGTTTGCTGACGATATCAAGATTTGGCGAAGGATCCAGGTGAACGCCGACCAGCATCTGCTTCAGAGGGACCTAGATACGGTATGTCAATGGTCAACTTGAAACTTACTGCATTTCAAAGTCGGTAAATGCAAGGCGCTTTCCATCCGACACCAGTGCAGCTACTCATGCCGTTTTGGAACGAATATACTGCAACACTCGATTGTTGAACTTGACTTGTGTGTCCTGGTTCAAGAATATTTGAGTTGTTCCAAGCAACCCGAAAAGTCTCGAAGACTTAGAACCAACGCGTCGGGCTGTTGCGACGGGCATTGGGACAAATAAACAGCTCCATATTTTGACAAATACTCAGTGCGTATATTTGCCCCCGTGTGGAATACGCAATTCAGGCGTGGTATCCATGACTGCAAGACGACCTTAACGCACTGCAGCAACCACAATGTCGGGCATCCAAGAAGGTAATTGTAATGCGCAATCTTTCATACCAGGAGAGGCTGCAACGGTTGGGGGTATTCAGTGGAAGCTTTCGCAGACTATGAGGCGACCCGATTTTGGCATACATGATCCTGCAAGACCCACATTATGTTGTGGAGAGGCGGAAGGCACTGGTTTCCCGGAGGAGGAAAAGACCACTAGAGTGGGAGCAGACTGAAAGGGAAACGGGCGCAATGAGCAATAGCAGACGGAGCTACACTGACCTTACCAAAGGAAACGAAAACGGGGCACTAGCAGCGCCCGGTAATGAGCCTGAGCCAGGCAAAATGGGACGAGTATTTGTGGAGGACGTAAAAACTCAGACAACAAATCAGACAAAACAAATCGGACAAGGCCGGAGTTTGAGGCGATTGCGGCAAATAACGGCATCAGAGGAAATGCCAACTTGCTGACCGCCTCGGGCACTATACTGGAGGCCGAGCGTAGGCGACCTACCTACTAACACGGAAGGTCAAGGCTGGCTGCTTATTTGCTGAGATGAAAGCAGCACTATGTGCGGAGTTCGGGAAGGAGATTGACCGGCAACAAGCCCTGGAACAGTTTCACTCAGCCAAACGAGAGGAGCAAGAATATCTGATGGTGTTCTTTCAGAGACTGAATAGCGCTTGGAGATTGCGCTTCCGGAATTGGATGGTGACGCGAGAGAACGGTTACTGAGAGAACAATTCGTCCGAAGTTTGCCCATACCCAAACAGGACACAGTGAAATTAGCATTCATGGTTGGAGTCAGCAAGATAGAAGAGTTTGTGGCTGTGGCCCAGAGTTTTTTGGGGCCTGTGATGATGGAAGAATCGAGCCGTCAGAGTTGGAACGCAAACTGGACCAGGTATCGCGGATGGTGGAACGACTGTTGAGCGAAACACCGAGAACAGAGGCACAAAGCAATGCTTCCGGAAGACGAGATGAGCGCGGTTGCTTCCGATGCAACCGGGTTGGTCATTATGCTACATATTGTACAAACAGAAAATTTCATCATTGTTTCTCCTTATCTATGTCGGGTCGGTGGCGTGTACCCTCCCTTGAGATAACAATTGGGGGTGTCGTGGTCAGTGCGATGGTAGACACGGGAGCGGGTATTTCCATTACAAAAGAGCGATGCTGTACCGTTAGTTCAGTCATCAATCGCGGTGCAAACCGTCAGAGGACACCGTTTGCAGGTGACATGGGCTCAAAGATTACGAGTGAGAATTGGGAAAACGGTTATTTTGTTTGTTGTCGAGGCGGCAACGGAAACAATCATCGGTAATGACATCCACAAGCAGCTCGGTGCGACGATTGATTTACGTAAAAATGTGATAGTGCGCAGCGAAACTATCAAGATGAGCACAAGGAAATGCGGCCAGATAGGTGCCGTGACGGTTCTACCCGAGTGCCCAAATCGTACGATACGGGACGTGCTTCAGAACTCTGCGCATTTTTTACGGATGCGAATGACGGCTTTTGCATCTAGATAGAATATCGGATACCCCTAATTCCAGACGGGCATTGCAAGCCGATTTTCAGGCGGATACCACAGAACACTGGCGGAGATACAGAAGCAGGTGGTTGCGATGGAGGCCAAAGGGATCATCAGAGGAACAAACAGTCCGTATTCCTCGCCCATATTGCTGGTGAAACAGGCGGACGGGACTTCTGCATCGATTTCAGAGAGCTAAACAGAGTGACGGTGAAAGACGCATTTCCGATGCCCCAAATTGAAAATTTTTTTCCAATCTTCACAAGGCCAGGCTGATTTCATTGACGGATCTCCGTTCGGGTTACTGGCAACTCCCCTTCGTAAAGGAAGACCGGTATAAAACAGTTTTCAGTGTGAACGGCCAACAGTACGAATTCTTGAAAATATCCTTTGGATTGTGCAACGCCCCTGCGACATTCAGACGCTTACGGCTAATGGTCCTGGAGTACCTCCAAGATGTAGTTGTCTATGATGGCATCATTATCTTCTCGGAGACGGAACATGAACATGTTATCGGACTTGCAGTCGTCCTACAACGACTGGAGGGAGCCGGTCTGAAGCTTAATCGCAACAAATCACAGATTGCTCAAAAGTCTATTGTGTGTTTGGGTCACGCTGTGCGGACCGATCAAGTTCAGCCGCTTCCAGAGAAACGCGAAGCAATCAAGAATTTCGCATCCCCGAAATCGAAACGTCAGCTCCAGTCGTTTCTCGGAATGGTAGCATATGATTGGAAATTCGTGCCCCATTTTGCGGAGATCAGTCCTTTATGAAAGCTACTACATAAAAACGAATTGCTCGCCTAGACACCTGAAGCGGATCGGGCCTTAAACGACCTAAAGGAATGCGTTGCAGAGGCGCCAGCATGTTTACGGCTAACCAAGCCTGGGGAAAAATTTCATGGTGGTGGTTGATGCAAGCAACCTTGCAATCGGAGCTGTGCTGTCCCAACCAGCCGGTGTGATTGAATATGCCAGTAGGGTGCTGACCAGCGCAGAGCAGAAGTACTCCACGACGGAGAAAGAATGCCTTGCCATTGTGTGGGCCGTGGAGAAATGGAGAACGTATATACTAGCGACTGAATTTCATGTCGTTACCGACCACAAGCCGCTATCATGGTTAATGACGACGACAGATATGCGGGACGACCTGCAAGTTGGGCGTACCGGCTCCAAAAATTCACCTTTACAATCGAGCACATAGAGTGAACGAAGAATCTAATACCCGACATGTTATCGCGTCCATCTCCGGACGAGCTCCTGCCATACCGGTGTGTGGCGTCACCGTTGCGGATCGAGACCTACTGGAAAGCCAACGTGTAGCTGAATTGGTGAGGTTGCTGTGCGCTCATTTACAAGCCAACACCAAGCCAGAGGCAACATCAGGAGAGATTGTGGAACTCCTGCGTATCTGGGACAAGTTGGATGTCACAAATAGCGCCCTGTTGGTGATAACAAACGAAATGAAAGTGCCTTTTATCCCCCCAGAATTTACAGGAGCGAGTGACCCATGATGGCGCCCATATGGGATTCGAAAAAGTCTTCGATAGGCTGCACAATAGGATGTTTTGGCTAACCATAAGAAAATACGTCACGGCATACATTCGCGGATGCTTATCTTGTCAAACGAATCGCAATATGGATGCACCAAAGCCTCCAATGCGATCTATCGAAGTCAACCAACCAGTCCAGTTTTGGTTATTGAACGTTTTTGGACCCTTGCCAGTCAGTCGGTCAGAAAACAGGTGCATCCTAGTAATGATTGACCATTTCACTCGATGAGTAGAAACCATGCGGAGTAGGGATCAAATAAGTGAGACAGTGACACAGACATTCGAACTCAATGTACCCGCAAGATATGGAATACCCCAGTGTGTAGTTGCTGACCAAGGACCCTGTTTTGAGTCAATGGCGTTTCAGAGAGTATTGGAAAAGTGGCACATCCGGAGATGACGCGCGTCACCGTACCAACCGCAGATTAACGGGCTGACTGGACGGTTTAATCGAACAATGAACACGTGGATAAACTGTACAAAGTTGCCGTGGGAGGAAGCATTGCCTGGGGTACTTCTCGCGGATAGAGCCAGCAAGCAATCGACCACCAAAGTTGCGACATTCGTGTTACGGTTTGCCAGACAACCAAGAATTCCCTTTAATACACTCATAATTATTACGCAGAAATGGGAGATCCCAGCAACACATCACGAACTTTTGGAAGCAACTGCAAGAAGAGAAACCAGGTCTCGACAAGCAAGGAACAAACGCAACTACGATGCTAGGTACGCGACCGACAAGTGGAAGACATACAGCGTAGGAGAACAAGTCACAATACGGAATCAGGATCGCCCGGAACTTGGAGGGCCAGGAGCACGGAAGTTCAGGAAACCCTGGAAAGGCCCCTACGCTGCACTCGATCGGAAAGGTGAGAACTTAAAGTTGACAACGGGGGGCCGCAACGCTTTATTAATGCCACCCTACTGCGGCCGTGGCACGCGAGAGAACAGCAACTTCGAGGAGAGGCGGGTGTAGGGAGGCGGAAGACAGTTGTTACCCGGAGGACAGAAAGACCACTAAAACGGGAGCGAACGGAAAGGGAAACCGGCGCAATAAGAGGGAGCAGACGGAGCAACATTGGCCTTACGGAACGAGACGAAAACGGGACACGAGTGGCGCTTGGTAGTGAGCCTGAGCCAGGCAAAAACGGGGAGAGTATTTGTGGAGAACGTAATAAATCGGACAAAACCGCCGTTATTGCATCTTCCCGGAACAACCACAGACAGAGCAATTCATCCACATTCAAGCAAAGCACGAGCTGTGGAATGACTCTGGATCGGTCAGAATGGGACGCGTGAAAGCGGAGCTACGGGGGCGAAATGGACACAGAATAATTCTTCCCGTACCTCAAAGGGTGCATGGACGTGTTTCGAGCGGAAGCCAGGAGAGATGGTGCAACGGGGGAAGGAAACATGATTTATTAATGTACGCCTGTGTGGTGATGACACAGCTAGTGATCGCGCCGATAAAGATTGTGCTTCATTCCCGCGTTGCTCTCGCTATAATATGACCTGTCAGCACTCTGATCCTTTTTGAGGTTCTCTCGTGATATCGTAGAAATACGTTTAACGCATTAAATTGGAACTCACACATGTGAGATGCCTGCGTAATCTTTTTCGGATTCTATTCCAACAATATTGTTATCTGTTGCGCTGAGTTTACTCTCTCTACTAAACAGTCCCAAGCATTGACCACTCACAGTTCGATGCACAGGGGATATCCATCTTTAGAGCTGAAATGTCCTCCGGTGGCCTATTGGTCTGCGCACCTGGCTTACAATAATAAGATCACCGGTTTGAATCCGCGGAGGCGCCGGCGTCTTCGCAGTATGCTGAGCCCACGCGCGACTGGTGGTGGTCGCGCGGCAGCGAAGCGCTGTTACGGCGTATAGCTGACACATTGTTATTATTATTATTATTATTATTATTATTACATCTGGAACCATGAGCTTTACTAGTGTCTACTTGTGCTACAAAGTTCTCCCAGGTGGGGCAACGGCCTCAGCTTGGGGAAGTCAATTAGATGTGGTCGGCTGGCATCGGACAATAGACACGGGTGTATAGTCCCAGCCGCGCGCCTATCTTCGTACGGTTAGCCTCGCAAGCTGGGGGTCATCCTCTTAGCGACATGGTAGACGTGTTCGCTCATCTCACCTTTACTCGCACGATAGGCGGCCAAGCCCTGCTTTAGTATTGCTGTTATGATGGAATCGAAGAGGCGAGTGACATCCTCTTCATACCTAATGCAGAAGCTTCGTTTTCGCGTTCAAATTATGCGCAGTCCGTTTCGGTGTAGCCTGTTCGTGTTGTCCACGCTTGAGTACACCTAGGTCATTCACGGAATGTGTGGGATGTATCAATTGCCCATCAAGCGGATAAGTTCGGCCGTCACCACCCTTCACCAGACTCATGAATACCGATTTGCTTGGGTTGACCGGGAGGCGGACCTCTACAGACTACATGGAGAGGCGGTCGAGGTCTTGCTGAAATGGGTCGCAGTCGTCGGAAATGCTAATCACTCTCCAAAACTTTGTCTCGTCCGCAAACAGGGTATACGATGAGCGAAGAACTTGCTGTGGACAAGGCACAACGTGGGCCGCAGCACCGTGCCTTGGAGTACATCAATGCTTGAGATACCAGTCAGTTAGGTGTCCGTCAATCTGTACCCTCCACTTTCGTCCAACGATGAAGTCATGGATCCACTGGTGCAGTGGCGCTTTACTGAAATCGATGTAGATTACATCGACAGACTTACCTTGGTTCACTGCCTGCAACCATTCATGCCTCGTCACCAGCAGGTTGGTAATGCATGCGCGGCCTAAACTAAAACTGTGCTGTGCGGGCGTCAGTGGATTTTATGAGTGGATCAGCCGTAGTAACCTTACTTCATGACATTCTCGGCAACTTGGACAAAATAGGTGTCAGAAATTGGTTTGTAGTTATCCACTTTGTTGCGATCATTGCTTTTCGGTGTCGGTTTTACCACTGAGCATTTCCAGCTGCTCGGCCATGAACCTTCGGACAGTGAGTTGTTGAGTAAGTCAGTCATGGCAAGTGAGATGATGGCCGACAGTGACTTGAATATCAGTGGGTGGAATCCATCGGGTCCAGCGGGTTTGGTGCCGTCAATGTTGGCGAGTTGACGCATCTCTTCTTCACCACAATTAATACTGTCGAGTTCGATAAGGGCGGTGCACGCCGATATCGGTACAGATACATGGTTAGTTGCAAACACGTAGGCGGATAGCGCGGTCGGTGTGTACGCACATCCATTGTCGTTAGTTATGGGCTCTCCGTACGCGCCCTGTTTCATCGGTGAATCACATGTTGGATTGAGACCGCGCCTCACTTGCACAAAAATTATTTTCATGACGGCTTTGTTGCTGTTGCAAACTGCTCTTCAAAATGTCGTCGCTGGGTCGTTTTCACACTTTTATAGTTATTTCGAGGCTTTTTGCACACTTCGTATGCCTCAATCGAGCTAGAGATGAGGAATTTTGTCCTACATGCTGTGCCGCAGCCGACCAGGCTTACCATGTTCCTTGTCGAACCA